ATATATATTGCATAATAAATAATGCTTATAAAAAGAGAAATTTTCTGGATATAAAATAAAAAAAAAATCGACCTCTACAACTTTATACAAAACTTTGGATACAGCAGATTGGTGGAAATAGATCTTCCATTCAGTGCTAGAATACCTGGCTACAGTAAAATAATTACAAGGCAATAAATGTTCTATTTAATATTAAATACCTTTTCTGGATTACAAAAACAAACAAACAAAAAGGGGATTTTGTTTGAAGTCAGGAACTTGGAGTCTTTCCAGACACAGAATTTAATAGATACTTTTAAATAGAATGCGTTTCAGAAGACGGCTGATTTCTGGATCGGGGAGGTTTCGCAGAGCTCTCCTGTGACCTTCCGGTTGAGAGAGCTGGTGCTTGTCGGGCTGCGCGAGCGCAGGAGCTCGTCGTCACGCTCTGCAGAGGAGGGACCCAGGGTTGTGCCCTGATTCTCTCCAGCCACAGGTCGGAGTGACGGGGCCACGTTCTGGGCTCCGTCTGAGGGCTCTTTCACCCTTTTTATTGCTCTTCGCAGTGCTGTGGGCTGCTCTTTCCCGTGGGCAAAGTGGTGGGTGGAGCAGAAGACACAGCTTTACTGGTTTGGAGATATTTCTGTGTTAGATCACTGGTGCTTGAGAACTGATACTGGAACATGGTTATTGGTCCTCATCGTCTGTGGAGGAGCCCACCAGGACAGAGCTAATATTTATTTTTTTAATTTCAAGGGGCAATATGCCATGAAAACATGAGCCCAAAATGAGGAGGCATGTGGTCAAGGAGGGGGACGTGGCCTGGGGAGCAGGTGGAGGAACAGACGCTGGTTCTTCTGCACCGAGATGGGTCACGGGGTGCATGCGGCTGCACCCTGGGCCCAAGTCCCTGCTGATGGTCAGAGCCTCAGCTTGATGTGGAGCCCTCAGGAAGGAACTGCTGATAGCCCGAGAAATCCTATGGGAAGGAGAGGGTCTGCCTGGGGTTGTGCTGCCGGATAAAGGGCTCCCTTCCCCATCTGCCCTTGCCTTTTGTGCCGGATGAAGTGGTTTAACAAGTCTGTCAGATGGGGGAAGGCTGATGAGAAGGCTTGGGCAGAAAGTTCTTCTTGCCATGGCTTCGGTCTCCCCGTCCGTTACTGATGCTCAGAGCTGGTGTAGCAGCTCATGGCGTGGGTACTTGGTCCCCAGAGAGATGCTCTGAGCTCACTCTGGGATATAAAGTCATATTAGGGAATGCTAGTAAATAGGTGCATCAACTGGGTTGATCTGCCCAGATCCTTAAATACCTCTCGTGGGCAGCTGCAGGGCGAGGAGGCTGCTGGGGCAGTGACGCGTCCCCGCGTGAGAGCTGGCAGCCTCGCCACGTGTGCGCTGCTCTTCTCCTGGGCCGGATGCCAGGGGATTGGCTCGGGGCTCTGGTTCCTGCCGTCCTCCTCAGGGGGACCTCAGGAGACGATCTGGGGCTGCGGGGAGGGAGAGGGCGAAGGGGAGGTGAAAGCAGGGACTGGCTGTCGGGCTCTGTTGGCGCGCTCGGACGGGTTTGTTTCTCCAGCGTCGTCTCCTCGGAGCAGGAAGGAAGGAGCCTGGCTGGTGTGGGGAGCTGGCTCCTTCCTCCTCCTCACCACATCTGCTGACACCAGGGTGGCCGTGCCAACAGGCAGGGGAGCCTCTGTTTGCTCGGCTTTCGCTGTGTAAAATTCATTTCCACCTGAAACCCCCGTATTGGCATCTACACGGGCCAGACCTGCGGAGGAGGATGGAGCTGGAAGCTCTGTGCATGCCGTGTTAGCAGCACGCTGACTGCTGTGGCCGTGCCTCGCTTGGACCCCTGCTGCTCCCCAGCGCGTCTGCCGTGGCAAACAGCCCGCGAGAAGTCAGCAGATCCGTGATCTAACGTGTCTGCAGCGCCAGGTCTAGCCTTGGGCCACCGTGCGTGGGTAAGATGGTGGGAGCAGTGCTGGTGCTGGCTGTGTGAGGGTGTGTGCCCTGACCAAGGGCATTAGGATTTCGTTATGCCATCCTCTGGAGTGTGAGGCCACCATGCAGGGGTTGGTCACAGGGCTGATGGACGCCTTGGCCCTGC